CATCTTGGATGCCCTGGGGGTAAGCAGATAAACATCAAATTTTCATTTTTGGGTGAACTATCCCTTTAAGATATTGTTGGTCATGCAGTGTTTCTGTAAAAAAAAAAACTACTACTACTAATAACAATATAAAACGCACTAAGGAGTAATGAGCCGCTGGGTTCATGAATATTAATCACGGTGTCTGCGTTCGCATGAACTGATTTGCTGAACTCAAAAGAGGGATAATAATAAATGAGTGCCAGTCGTTTGCGCATTAGCTCCGCCCACTACTGGAGAAACCGGCATATCTTATGCTTATTCTTAAAAGCTGAATAATTCTAAATGAACTGTTATTTTTACAGAAAAATACAACAAAGAATATCATTTACATGTAGCGCGTCGATTCTGTAAGACTCTCTCACTCGCTCTCTCTCTGTATTTGCGTGTGTGTGAGAAACACAGCGCTATCAGCAAAGCGACGGCGAGTCGTGTGTCTTCACACTAGAGTTTACGGTGCGTCAAATACAGGTGCGCTGCGCATCCATTGAGATGAACTGAAAAACGGCACAGATTGCTTGATGGAGAGTGAAACTCTGAAGCACTCAGTCAGAGTGAAAATATATCTGTGCTAAACTTACACTTAGCCTCTAACACACACACTGGCGAGTAAAATCTAAGAATTTATTAGCCAATGGCTAACGATAGACATCATTTAGTCGCCCAGAGTGAAGATTTAGTTGCATATGTGAGTGATTTACTCTCATTATAGAGGGTTGATTTGGTATCCTAAACAAACAATGAACAACACATTTTTACAGCATTTATTAATCTAGGTTTAGGTTAATTTATAAATACATGTTCAAACGTTTGGGGTCAGAAAGTTTTTGTTTTTAAAATAAATTAATACTTTTATTAAGCAAGAATGCATTAAATTGATCAAAAGCGACAGTAAAAACTTTTATAATGCTCCAAAAGATTTCTATTTCAAAATAAATGTTCTATTCATCAATGAATCCTAAAAAATAAAATGTATGACAGTTTCCACAAAAATATTGGGCAGCACAACTGTTTTCAACATGAAGATCATGTGACACTGAAGACTGGAGTAATGATGCTGAAAATTCAGCTTTGATCACAGAAATAAATTACATTTTAAAATGTATCTAAATAGAAAACAGCTATTTTGAATTGTAATAATATTTCACATTTTTACTGTATAAGAGACTTCTTTTAAAATAAAAAAAATCTTACCAACCTCAAACTTTAAAAAGAAGTGCATAATATTGTTCACTGTTAGTTCATGTTTGAATATTAAAAATGTACAATAATATATGTAGAAATAACCTCACATTTTATAATGACTTTTTAAAAAAGTCATTATAAAAAACTACTTTAAACTAGTTTACATTTAAACTACTTTTTCAAATGGTGGCCAATAAAACAGCAGGTGCTTGCTTCTCCTGATAGAAAAAGCATGTGATGAGAGTCTAAAATTGTTCATTTATAACAATAAAGCTAAAAGCAAATATCTATCGACTGCAACTTTGTTTAAATGAAGTGTTTCAACTCTTTTATTCACCAGTCTATTCACCTGCCCTCTTCCAATCCACATTTACATGTAAAATATGGCCACGTTTGAGAGAAGTTCTGAATGCGTCTCTGACCTTGAAGGCGTATTTCCTGCTTACGTGGTCGTCCACAGACAGCATGGTGATGTGGAAGCTGGGCAGGAGGATACTTCCCAAGATGCCCTCTTCTTTCTCATCTGAAGACACAAAGAGAGAGACATTGTGAGCATTAGCATATATTAGCCGACTGCCAGGGAACCTGCTAAACTTGACTGGGTGTTTATTTCGGCAGGGGTTTGGGTAAACAGACAGTCTGGCGGGGCTGATGGGAAAACTGCAGGGTTGTGTGCATCCAAGCGTGTCAATGAGGTCGTGACTTGCTCTCGACTGTGAACTCCATCGTTTTGATTGCAGACTGCAACCAATCTGTCAAGAGTTGCTTGCCGACTGAGTCAATTCAGAGTGAAGGCTGTGTTAACCGTTACCATTACCGTAATAATGCCAAAAACAGCACATTCCCATCATCGGCTTCCATAAGCGTGAGACTTATCACGTCCATTATGCCATTCATTATTTCCAACAATCACATAAAACTCAATTTTATTTTCCAAAAACGCGGTTTAATCATCCACCAGATCGCTAAGAGAAATAACAGCACACCTCAAAGACAAATTAAATTGAGACCTATACAGCACAATTATGAGTGATAGTGCTTTTATATAACAGTTCAATAAACAGGAAGTCAATACTGAGCGACCTTTTGTTTGCTCTGCCAACAAAAATAGCTTCAAATGAAGTGAAATGAACAAAAATAACCGTAGCACTGTAATGGTGCTTCTGAATGCATTTCAATGAATGAACAGAATCAGCCAAGTGAATAATTAAACGATTAACTGGTGATAACTATATTCCTGAATGTTCCAGTGTTTTTGAAGTCAATGAAATCACTTGTTTAATTCCTGAATGAATTGAATTGGTTGAATGAAAGTTTCAATCATTTACAGATGATATAATACATATTGTTAATGAATAAGTCAGTGTTTAGGAAGGAATCGATTGAGTTAATGAGTTTCTCACTCATAAAGACACTAACTTGTTTCGTTCCTGAATGAATCCAATCGGTTGATTGAAAGATGCAATCATTTTCTCATAAAGACACTCAACTTGTTTAGTCCCTGAATGAATCAAATTGGTTGAGTGAAACATTCAATGATTCGCTGACTATAAATATATTTTAGTCCTGAATCAATCAGTGCATTGAAGAAATCGATTGAGTGAATGACTCACTCATAAAGACTCTCATTGTCTCCACCTACTGGCAAAACAATGTAATCTTCAGAAAGAGTTACTGAAAAATCAGTATGTCTATAACATGTCCATGCATGTATATTAACAGATGTATAATTAGTGTTAAGTAGATGTTTGAATTCCTAACCCGAAATATGGGCAATATATATTTTTTGATGCAAACTCAGCAGACTAACATGCTTGCTATTCCCCTGCCATACAGACCAAACAAGACAACGGTGCTTCAGCACTATGTGATGCAATTGTCTTTTAAAAGTTACATGGACCAAATTTTTGCATCCTCAAGTGTGTTTTGGAGACATCCCACACACTGAGTTCTGGAGCACTCAGATCCGTGAGGCGGCGTTCAGAAGTGAAGAAAGCCGCCGGTGGCTCACAGCAGACGCCGCACTGAATCACCGACAGCAAACGAGCACAAACCAACACAGAGAGATGATCAGCTCTCTCAAGATCAGACTCAGTGTGCTGGCTTTAGAGAAACCACATACTGATACACTCCAAACAATCAAAGCGCAGAGTATACAAAACTCTAATAATTCTGCACAAAATCTCAGCCAACACAGAAGTCTGATGAAAATTCCACAGATTTTTTTTTCTGCAGAATTTGAACAGCAGTCATTAGGACTGGAGTCGTAAAGAATAATTCTGGATATTATATTCCATTAATACTTTAGAAGAGGAAATGTATAAATATATATATATAGGGCCAGGCAAGTTTGGACAGCTTTTTTCCCTTAATAAAATAAATAATCATTTAAAAACTGCATTTTGTATTTACTTGCATTATCTTTGTGTAATATTAAAATTAGTTTGATGATCTGAATCTTTTAAGTGTGACAAATATGCAAAATATTTAAAAAACAGGAAGGGGGCCAACACTTTTTCACACCACTGTATATATATCACACATACTGTATATATATAATAAAAATTCTATTTCCAAGTGATAAAGATGTTCTAATAAGTAAATGTCAAACAATTATTGCAAAAAGATTGTTTAAGCAGATTTTTAAAAATGATTTTCAGTCTTTTTAAAGGTACAAATACAGTAAATATTAAACAATTCTAAACAAATTAACAAAAAATGTGGTACCTACACTACTGTTCAAAAGTTTGGGAATTGTCAGATTTTTTTAAAAGGTTTTTGAAATAAGTCTCTTCTGATCACCATGGCTGCATTTATTCGATAAAAAAATACAGTAAAAACAGTAATATAGTAAAATATTATTTTAACTTAAAATAGCTGTTTTCTATGTGAATATATTGTAAAATGTAATTTTAATTCTGTGATCAAAGCTGAATTTTCAGCATCATTACTCCAGTCTTCAGTGTCACATGATCCTTCAGAAATCATTCTAATATACTGATTTTGCTGCTCAAGGAACATTTCTGATTATTATCAATGTTGAAAACAGTTGTGCTGCTTTTTTTGATTTTTGTGGAAACCGTGATACAATTTATTTTTCAGGATACTTTGATGAATAGAAAAATCTGAAAGAACAGCATTTATTTTAATCTTAATTTATTTGAAATTTATTTGAATCTTTTATCACATTTTTAAAAATTATTATTTTTTACTTCTGATCAATTTAATGCATCCTAGCTGAATAAAAGTATTAATTAAAAAAAAAAAAACATTACAGACACCAAGCTTTTGAACAGCAGTGTATTTTATTCTTTCCAACATATGAGAACTTTATTTTTTAAAAATGGTATTGGTTTTTTAGTTCCCAGTATTCACCACCTCTGCTTATTTAGCAGAATACAAAGAATACTGTTCTTTGTATAACGTGCACTGATGAATAATGCTAAATAAGACCAGTGCTTTATTATTTCATGTTGATTTTAACACACATCCCCCTTTTTAAATTAATTCCACATATTTTACACCACAGTCAGTGAAAATAGGAGTTAAAAAAACCCCACTGAACTAGTGCATGAGTGTGTGCAGTACCAGCTGACACAGACAGGGGGCGTCAATGATCTGCCCTTCTCTGCTCACAGTGGCATCGTTTGGTCAGGGCCGTTCATAGCTTCACCTGTCCTTCATCACTGACATCTGCATCCAACATTTAATCTGAGCCGTCGATACAGACTCACAGAGAGATGGATGATATGAATAGACAGTCTGAGCATGTCTGCCGCGTGGCTAGAATAATCCTCTGTCTTCTCCCTCAGCCAATAAACAGCCTTGGCCCTCATGGGTCCTGCTGTGAAAGAAGGATCTGATTGCACTGTCGGACTGCTTAATTGCACAATTTATGGAGATCTAAGAGAGCGTCCTCAAGAGACTTCAGCAAGCAGCACAACCAATTCAATGAAACACCTTTGGGCTCAAGCTGGATTACGTCCACGCATCTTCCTCCCTGTATATACTATGAGAGCTTATTAAATAGAACACTTGATTCTGATTGGTCAATCACAATATTCAGCAGTCAAATATTTCTGAATAGTGCTAACTATTTAGAAACTAAACTAAAACTATTAAAAATTGATAAAAAAAAGAAGTTTTTCTGAGCTGAAATAAATAAAAATATCAATATTAGATGAAAAATGAAAATGAGATGTGTTGCCTTGGCAACAAACAGAGATAAAATAACTATGTCCGGCCGGAGCGACTAGACAAAAACATTAAAACCCATTATAAACGAGACATTTGTTGCATCCAGTGGGGACATAATTATGGATTATAGTGACTTATACTGTCTTTTTACGCACTGCGTTGCATCGCGCCGAGTAAACATAAACCCATGTCTGCATTTGTGATCGGAGAAACGACAAACAACAAGCACTACTCTACACTGCCCAAAACTCACGTTTGAATCGTCAGTGGCAAATCCTTTAAATATGAAAACGTACTTACAGTCTTTGAGTCAGAACACCGGCATTGTAGGCTACTCTCCCAGGAAACAGTCCTCATCCTCCGTAAAATGCATTGCACACATCTGAATATTTGGGTTGAACTGTTCTGGAACAGTGTTGTAAATACAACTTAACCACTGATTTCTAGTCGTGTCCTCTTTTGGAAGGCCAAACAAAGTAGTTTCGCTTTCACAACGAAACACACTGCGTCGCCACGACATGGCTGCGGCGGCAACAATACTAGAGCGAGAATCAAAGTTACGCCTTCTTTCTTTGCGTGAACATTTGAGCGCCGTTATGCAAATCTTCCCACACAGTGACGTAGATATGTGGGGGCGTGTTAGAACGAGCCGTTTTAGGAGGGCGTGGACCAGTCTTAACTTTAATAAAAAATATCTCTTTGGGTTTGAGACTTTAGTCTGTGTAACTTTAGGGATCTTGTCTATTCACGAACAGCTTGTAACACTCCAAAAGGAAAGGAAAACTTGAAATCGCATCATATGACCCCTTTAAATGTTAGATGAAAAACTTAAACTTAAAAAAAACCTTAGTCAAAAATTAGAAATGCAACTAATTTAAATTAAATAAGTACACATACATATATATCAGTTAATAGAAATAAAGAAATAAAATAAAGTTTATATTAGATGAAAAACATAAATTAGAAATGTTGCCTATTTCTAGCAAAATATAAATATTTGTAAAAATACTAAAAATGACAAAGGCACTTCAACAAAAACTTAAATAAAAATTAGACATGTTGCCTTAGCAACAAATTGAAATAATGTTTACATACTAAAATTACTAAAACTGAAATAAAAACGAATTAAAGCAACATAGAAATGTTTAAAAATAATAAAGACAAAATCACATAACAAAATTACTAAAACTTAAAATTAAAATGAAAACAAAATATAAAAAAAGTTAATTCAACATATGAATAAATATAATAGCATATAAACAATACTAAAATAACACTGAAATAGTGGCTATTTTCAATGGCAACGCTGAGTAACTGACCAGAGAAACAAGTTTACGACATGTTTCAACATTTATATCCATTTATTTGTTTATTTGTTAAGTATATTTATATACGGATATCTGATGAAGGCCTGGATAACGGCCGAAACGTCATTTTAATCAAAGTTTTCACCTCTTCAAGAGTGAGTGCTGCACCTTTTTCAATTGACATGGTTTTTTGATTTTTGGTTGCACCTCCTCTATCGTTGGTAGAGCACCTCCTCTCAGTAATTTTTTTATTTGTTAAGTAGCCATCCATGATACGTGAAGTAATGTAGTGTCAAATGATCATCAGTGCAAAATAAACCTCATCAGGGCAGTTTTACTGAGATATTCATATATCATCAAGATAATGATTGGCTGACAGTAAATTTTCCATTACGTAAGTAATAACTGACAATTGTAGAATTAATGAAAAGAACCTGTAACTGAATTTATTAGTCAATCAAAATCATATGGAATCAGAATCATTCGATTGCGAATCCTTCCCGTTACTCCACAAAAGTGGATTCAAATCACTGCAAAACTTTTGGAAGAGCACATTATAGTATCAACCATTCATTTAGTGGTATTTCCATATTTACAGAGCCATGATTTGAAAAATACACAGCATAAAACCCAGATAGCAGCTCAAATGTGTCACTTGATCATATGGCGACAAAAGTCAACAGAAACTGCTCTGGGATAAAAGTTAATTCTCACACATCAACAAGAAAATTTGACATCAGTGTGTGATAAAGTGTGTGTTTGTAAACATCGATGCTGGACTCACCTCTGTAGTAGAAGAGGCACATGTCAGACAGAACGAACCATCTCTTCTTCCACAGCTTCATCCCGGTACTGTCCTGCAAAGTCCAGCAGCACAGCAGCCGTCAATCAAACCAGCCAACCAATCACAGTGCAGCATGGAAAGCCCCGCCCCCTTTCCGTGCATGCTTATTTTCCTCAGACAACACCAAATGTATCTGCTTTGCTGAGATATTGTTATCCATGTTGCTGCTGGTCTCTAGAGCGGAAACTCATCTCTTTTTTAAGGCGATTCATTTAATTTGAGGCATGAATCATATTCCTATTCCTCCCTCGTGTTTTACTGTTTGTTGTGTTAATGTTTGCACCGTCTAAGCATGTAAATTTTAATTCAGACAGCCAAGCCTGATGATTTTGCTTGTGCTACGGGAGCAGCTTTGATGGAGGATGTTTGGGAAAGAGGAGAGACCACCTCTGATGTTGTGTTTTTCGTGGAAACATGCTGCTTTCAAAGGAACGCTGGCATAGTGATCGCACACACAAAGACTCTAGTTACTGACAAAACGCTTTGTGTGTTTATTTCACTCTGCCTTTCAGGAAAAGCGGTTGTGAAAAATGATGCAAAAGCACATATGTGCTTGTGGAGTCGTGTATGTGCTGCATAAAAACACAGGCAGATGAAGCACGGATGAAACATTTGATGGATAAGCTTTGAAGTGCAGGCAAATCTCAGAAAACATGAGACTTTTATCTTATCTCAGTTGGACATGTACTGTGATATAATCATGGTATTTTTAAAGTACATTAGAGTACTATGGAAATACATATTACTGTAATGCAAAACAAAATTATATTAATATACAAATATAATTATATTTAATCAAATATCAAATAACCTTTTAAATAAATGTAAATAATTTTAAAATTAAATTATATACTTATTTAAAAAAAACAAAAAAACATTTCGCATTACGGTAATGAGAATCTATGGCTGAATGTGCTTAATTGTAAGGAAAATACAGTTAAAAAAAAACCTTGAGTACAAAAAATCTAATTTTTATGATGCTATATATTAATTTCCTGTTAAAGTAATGAAAACAAAAGTATAATAATATATAAATATAACTGTATTTAATAAATTATAAAATAACATTTTAATAAAATTAAATAAACAAACAAAACAATTATAAATGTCATAATCGAAAGATTGATGAGGTTTATTTTTTATTACAGCAATAAGAAAATATGGCAGAATTTTCTTAACTGTCATGAAAATACTATAATAATGTTTTTTTTTTTTTTAATTCATTTTCACAATTTTCACAATATTTTTTCCTGTTGATGTACTTTATAGTACCATGGAAATGCATATCATTACCATAATGTAATGCAAAAGTATATTAATAAATAATATATAAATAAAATTATATTTAATAAATAAAAAAATAAAACTGTTAAAAATTAAATAAAAATATATAAGAATGGGATGATTGATGAGATTTTTTTTTACTGCATTACATTAATGAGAATCTATGCCCTAATGTGCTTAACTGTCATAAAAACAGTGTTATAATGCAAAAAAACTTTTTTTTCAGTAATTTTCACAATGCTTTTTCTTTATATTGTTACATGAGATTCTCTCACACATATGCCAGATTTATTAATGGTTTGTAAGAGTGCCAGAGCCACAAACCTGTTTGTAAAGCCAGCCGTTCTTTACCACCGGGGCATTGGGGTTCCTCTTGATGGAGTTGGACCTCTTCCCAAAGTTGTGGATTTTCTTTGAGGACCTGGACAGCTGCAAATAGGGTGAGAGGAGATTATTCTCAGAAACAACACTTGTGAGGGCTCAAGCTTGCCTGTATACATTATTCAGCGATGGAGTTGTAAATAATTACAACTTACTAGTGAAGTCGTTTAGCGCAGCTCAGAAAAGGCATGTGAGGCATGCATTATGAATCAACAGCACTTACAAACCCTCAGAAAGTTAAAAAGCTGCTTAACAGAAGCCAAAACACACTGGCAACAATCTGAGGCAAGCGTATTTGTCATTGGGTCTGACTCTAACGAGACACAATCATGCAGACGAGCCAATCGCTGATCTCTGGACTTTGATTATTTAGGTCAACCGACCCCTCCAATTATAAACGCTGACAATAAATCATCAGAACGAAAAATAAGTCTTATTTCATCATTTTCTGAGTTGAACTGAAATTATTATGTGAAAAAATATTTAGCATTATTAATGTATGTGTTCATGTATTTCTATATGCGCTAGGATTAAGTGCATTAACTTACTTAGAGAAAAAATAACAGAAATTATTAATTTCTAAAAATAAGAAAAATGTTATGCACATTTAATGCCCCTGTATGAGTTTTTGTGTCATATTTATATCAATTCAATTCAATTCAACTCAACAACAGTTCAATAAATAAGGAGTTAATAATGTGTGACACAGTATTGCCTGCTTTTGCTCAATTTTGCCAACGAAAATATTACCTATAAATCCACAACAGAATTTTTTGTGCATCTACCAACAACACACAGTGGCATTTCGTTTCTAAATGAATCCACACTTTGAATGAATCGGGTGAAACAATGATTCAATGACTCATTCATAAAGAGAGCCATTTATTTCATTCCTAAATGAATCAGCCATTTAAATAAATCAAATGAATGAATGACTCAATGACTCACTCATTATCCAAGACATTTACCACCATCTAATGGAAGTTTAGTTTCTTATTTAGAGTATCATTTCATAATAGTAATAAAAATACCATATTAACAAAAAAAAACATTAATACCCATTTAAAACCCATTAATCTCATGGCATTATTTATGCAATTGTAATAGCAGTGTAAATGCATTCATGCCACCTCTGAGCTGCAATAAACGGTCTGTAAATATATCTAAATACCAATTCTTCTGAAAAAAAAAAAAAATTGAATGTTAAATCAAATAAAACGTCATTCTAAAGCTACTTTTTGCCTATTTGATGTTGTTCTCATTTAAAACAAAATTGACTTCAAATTATATTTTCGGGGTAATTCCTCAGCCAAATTTGATGTGTGATTACTTTTTAATTAAATTAAAAAACTTTAATCACTTGACAGCCCTAATTTATATAAGCACGTACTGTACTGTATGAATATGCATGTTCATTTATTCATTTGAGAAACGCCCGCATCCTGAGCCACAACAATTCATGAATTGTTTATCTTGTTTGGGTGTTTTTATGTTATATAGAGTTTAGGGGTGTGCAAAATGACATTTTCGGTGGGTTGTCTGAATGACATGTTGACTAGTCTTTTAAAAGCCTTGAATAATGAGTCAGGTTTAAAAACCTCTCAGAGACAGAGTTTCCATCCAGATATTTTTAATGCAAGATATTGCATTAAAAATGCATGATGGAAACATTAAGATTTACTGAATGAATGTGCAGTGAAAAACATCAATGCTTGCTGGGTATTTAACTAGCTGTATAACTAGTTGCCCATCCTAACCCATGGGCAACTCAACATCACCAAGCAAAGACAATGAAGCAAATGTGCAGTAATGAGGACAGTAATTGTGTAACATGCTATTGATGCATGATGGCACAGTCCAATCTGTCACGCTGGAACTAGGCCAAGGTCAGCGAGTTAGTTAGTGACTCACTCTGGTTGTGGGACTGCTGGGATGTGTGGTATAGTCTGAGCCGCCCGTGTAGTTCGATGCTTCGCTCATGGTGCTGGTTGGACGTTCTTTCTTCTCGGCCGCTGGTGCTTTGGTCGCTGGTCTGGAAGAGGTGAGAGGAAGAAAAGAGGAGGAACATCACAAACTAATCTTAACTGTACATTATTCAGACTAATTTTACTGTATTGTACTGCATGTTGTCAAATACCACAGACAACACTTTACTCAAAAGCTTTTACAGGAAAGAAACTCAGAATGGAAGCAAAAGAGAAAAGCAATAACAGCTAGATAAATTGTTTTCTGCATGCAAAGTCACCAACTTGATGATGGTTTATCTACAGAAAATAATGGTCATTTTAAAAACATAAAAGATGCATATATTTATGCAATATATAAATATCATTTATAAAATGTTATAATGTGTGTGTATATACAGTTGCATCTCAATAAATTAGAATGTCTGTTCGCAATCAAGAAATCTTTTAAATAGGACCTGCCTGACAAAGTGAAGTAGACCAAAAGATCCTCAAAAGCTAGACATCATGCCGAGATCCAAAGAAATTCAGAAACAAATTAGAAAGAAAGTAATTGAGATCTATCAGTCTGGAAAAGGTTATAAAGCCAATTCTAAAGCTTTGGGACTCCAGCGAACCACAGTGAGAGCCATGATGTGATGATGTGATTTGATGATCTGAAACATTAAAGTGAGACAAACACGCAAAAAAATAAGAAAACAGGCCAACACTTTTTCACACCACTGTATATAGAGATCTATAAACATAAATTTAGACATATTGTACAATTGTATTTAATTAATTAAATTAAATTAATTGTATTTATACTGTATACGCAAGTCATATTTCAAGATTGCTGCATATGAATTGGCAGGATTTTTTTATGCATTGAGAAAATATCACAGATTTACCTGTTGCTCAGAATAAAGACTACAAACTTCAAAGCTGCATGATTAATATTACTTGTATTTATTTATTATTTATTTCAAATAAAGAACGGCATCATATTCTGTTGTCAGTATTCACTGCAGTATCCAAAGTAATTTTGCATGACTGAAATCTAGTCTAAAGCACAAATAACATTTTTACTAAGAATTGCTTCAACAAAAATACAATCAAGAAAAACAGACTCCATCATTTTTACCAAGGAAGATTGTTTGTGGTAATCGACAGCATGCCACGTCTGACATCAGGTTTAAAAGAACCAGAAGACTCTGAAGGCCAAGCGATTGCTGTGCAGATAAATGAGGAAAGTTCTTGAGCTTCTGTAAGAAACTCGAGAAGTTCAGGCCTCTGAACTGCTGTTTTAATAAGCCAGAGCACTTCAGCATTGAGACAGAACGAGAATGAGAGAAAGAGAGGAGACAGGCCCCATGCATCAAAGCAATTACTCACTCCACGTCTCCTCTGATCTACTCCTACACAACTGACAACCTTAAATGGCCTGCCAGCTCCGGCTCTGACATACCACATCCACAGTTTATGACCCAGTCAAGCTGAAGGGCAAAAGCAAACCAAACGCCAGAGAAGTCAAGGTTGTAAAGCAAACGCCACCGTCTTATTTAAAGAAAGTAAAGAGAAAACAAAATAAATATGGCCATAAACCCTGAAATCCCACGGCACGTGGACGCTCAACCGGGAGGCATTGTCCCGCAGGGTTGGCCTATATTTCGACGCTACGGTAGAGCGACGACGTCTAGGGAAAGCACTGCTATCTGGAGCAAGGGAGAGGAGAGAACACCAGGGTAAAAAATAAGCGCTGTCTGGCTTCTGGGTCACGTCGCATGAGGAAAACACTTTCTGTTTTACAAAAGGCTGAATATTAGCAGCGGTTAAACAGTCTGTTATTTGCGTCTCACAAACTGCATCAGGAGGTTAAATGCATGTTTGTGCATTTAAAGGCACGGTTCAGTCAAAAATGGCATCTGTCATAGGGCTTTATTTTTTTCAGTTGAACACAAAATGAGATGTTTTGAAGAACATCCTGGCTGCTTCGGCTTTCACTGTGGACGAAGCGGAGTCCAGCCCGGGGTCATCACATGTGGTTGCCGCAAGCCCGCCGGCCGCTTCTTCGTCGAATACGCCGGCCGTGCCGTTCTCAAGCCCGCCGGCCATTCCTCACTTAAGCCCGCAGTGTGTGACGCTGTGTGATGCATTTTATGGAGGACTGTTTCCTGAACCTGCGGAGTAGCATACAATGGGTCTGTGCTCAAAGGCTGTTCTATCAAGTGGGTCAGTTCCAACTTTGCAAGGACAGTCTGGCGCTTCTGACTTATATTTAAAGAATTTGCCACTGATGATTCAAACGCGAGTAGCACTTGTTGTTTGTCGTTTCTCCGATCACAAATGCAGACATGGTTTTATGTAAAAACACAGTATAAGTCATTATAATCAGTAATTATGTCCCCACTGGTTGCAACAAATGCCTCTTTTGTAATGGGTTTTATTGGATTTGTCTCGCATGCCGGGAGACAGCATCAGACAGTGTGTTAAGGGGCGTAACATTTCTGTCACACGTTTGAGGTATTCAGCCAATCACAACGCACTGGATAGCTGGCCAATCAGCATACACCTCGCTTTTCTTAAACCACATAAACACATTGCATTACACCAAATACACAACATAATGTTCTTTTTAGCAATGTCATATGACCAGTTTAATATAATGAAAGTGAAGGGGAACTGAAGCTGTCAAGCACCAACAAGGCAAAAAAGCATCATTAAAGCACCATAAAAGTGGCCCGTATGACTCAAGCCCTGTATCTCAAGTCATCCAAAAACATACAATAGCTTTGTGTGAAGAACAGACTAAAATTAAAGGAGCTATTAACATTGAAAATCTGTCCAAGCTCTCTCATGAGATTTATAATCACTAATAAATCAGATATTTTCAATGATTCAGTTCACCACAAAGAAATAACATCTTAATCAGTTTTTTTTTAATTTTATACATATATATATTTACTTGAGAAGCCAACATCGAAAATTAGATAAATATAATTGCATGTTGTCCAAATGGACTTTTGGCAGATTTTTCTCCACATATTTTTCAGTTGTTTATACTTAAAACAAGTAAAATAAGTCAAAAAGCTTTTGGGTGCTTTAAAAAAAAAAATTTTTTTAAATCAGATAAATGTACTTAAGAAGCAACACTGTATATTAGATAATGTAATTTTATTATATGAATATATAATTGAGTATAAGTGTATGTTGTCTCAATGCACTGGCAGACTTTTTCACATTTTTTTAACTTGTTCATACATAATCTGCCAGAGCATTAAGAAACTCATATTAAAATACACTCATATTCAAGATACAATCCATGAAAACAAGTTTTGATATCTCAGTACTGATTCAAGCAATTGCAATGTTTCAGTGATGTTTAGTTGTTGTTTTTTAAATATTTTAATTTAATTTTAATTTTTTTGTTTGTTTTTGTTTAATAAATCCTTTTACATGCATTGATGGATTTTTTTTCACATATTTCTAACTTGTTTATATTTAAAACAATTGAAATAATCTGCCAGCACATCAAGACAAAATGCACTCATATTCAAGATACTATGTGTGAAAACAACTCTTGATATCTCAATGTTGCTTTCCAGGCAAACTTAACTTGTTTCAAGGATTTTTAAATTTTAAAAACATCAAAAAATGCTAATAAATTAGTCTTTTTCCATGCATATTGTTTATGTGATGTCAGAAGACTTTAAATGAAATGCACAAGTTGTCTGGACTACTTTTATGGTGCTTTCGGGTGCTTTTTGAAGCTTCTTATAATTGCACTGAAAAAAAGAAAGTCATACAAGTTTGGAACAACATGAGGGTGAGTAAATGAAGACATTTTGGCTGAACTACTTCTTTACCAAACATCGTTTGCATGTGTTCTCGCTGTCTAACACAAGCATCTGATTTGCATTAGAAACAAACACAAAGAGACACATTGTCATTGTCAGCAGTCATGCACACACCAGCACCACGAAAAATCCAAAACACTACACAACAGCCCATCCCGGAGTCATTTGAGGAAGTACAGGGTAAGAAGTCGGGTCAGGGTAGCACACAGATCCAAGTACGACCTTCCAGGCCACTGATCTCAAATTAAATTGAGCATTCAACACGGTTATTAGCGTTCATTAATTAATCTCTTCTCAAATAATGAGCTTTAGCGTGCGCTCGGTAGCCATGCCGGCGGCCATCATTCAGCTGACATCTGACGGTGTCTTTAGAGGAAGAGTGGCAGCGAGTGTGAAATTAGCCCCATGTCAAGCGGCTAAAGCGCGCTGAATCCAGAGATAATTGACGGAAGGGACATTCAGATGGGTTTGTGGGTTGGTTGGGCACCGGCTCGACTGGAGGTCAGCTAAAATGCGTGAGTCATGCTAGGCTTTAAAACACTCTGTCTGCCACCATTTGTCTCTCACGCCCTTCAACTCATCATTTTCATTTGCGGCAGCATCATTTGAGGAGGTTAAACTCAGAGGCCTTGAAGAACGTTAAGAAAATATCACAAAATTGGTGTCAGATTGTCTGTGTTAGTCATTTTAGACCTGCAATGTTAGGTCTGAAACATTACTAAGCTCTTATTTTCAAAAGAAGAAATGCCACCTGTTGTATTTATAAGTAAAATGGGACATTTAATGAGCAAAATGTGGGCAGGAGCTCATTTTATCCATCGGGAAATTACTGGAAAAAAGGAAATGCCCATATATGGTCGTTTAAGGGGATTGGTTGAAAAGGGATTTGTGATGTCATACAGAAATGAAAGTCATTTCAGAAGTGGAGCAAAGTTGTATATTTTATGTAAAAGGTTATGAAAACAAACAATTATTCTTCAGAATAATGTGAATAATTCAAAATAACACCAGGAACATTAATAAAAATGAAAAAAAAATAGTCAATTTAGATTTCATGATAACTTCAATTGCTTTAAAAATAAACCGTATCTCTAAAACTGGACTCTGAAGCAGTGTCATTTTAATATCTTTAATATACTATTTTAGGTTTTGTTAAATATTTTGAATTAGATCGAGTTTGTATTGTACCCGCTGCCACAGATAAAACTGAACCCATGCAAGTTCATTCTTACCACCTATCAGCTGAAGACCGAAATCGTCGACTAACCCAACGTCTCTACGAATCTCCTGTCCCTCACGGCCACACTGTGTCTCAGGCATCGGTGAGTTTTCCTGTTGATGCACTTAATCCAGATCTGTGTGTTACGGTACCTATCACTATCACTGTAAATGGCCATCAAATCACTGCCAATGCCCTATTGGATTCTGGAGCGGCTGGAAACTTTATGTCTAGAGAATTCGCTCATCAAAATAATATCTCTCTAATCCGTTGCTCCTCTCCTTTGACAGTGGAAACGATAGAAGGATGCCCACTGGGCTCAGGACGTGTTACATTCATAACACAGGCACTTCAGATGCGGACTGGTATTCTTCATTCAGAAAATGGGAAGAATTCTCCAGTATTTGGTCGACTGGGAGGGGTACGGAGGAGCGTTCCTGGGTTAATGCAGATGACATTCTCGACCCCAACCTTGTGGAGGAGTTCCACCGCACCCATCCGGATAGGCCAGCCCCTCGACCGCGTGGGAGACCCCGGCGTCGCCCGCCTCCTCACACCAGGAGACGCTCGCAGGGAGGGGGCTCTGTCACAGAGGCAAACTCCGTGATTCCCTCTTCCGACCATCACAGGGCTCCCTCACCCGAATATTGACTCTTACACTCTCACACTACATTTCCCATCAGCCCCGTATCTGGCACTGATCACCTAGCCCAGCTGTAGCCCATCAGCTGGCCTATATAAACAGTCTGTTCCTTCCAGCTCATTGCGAAGTCTTGTTTTACTGCGGTTTACATTTCTGAGCGTTTTTCTCTGTTTTGCCTGCCTGTTGTGACCCTGTCTGTACCTCGTTTATGATACTCTGCTACCTGCCTTCTGGATTATCCGCCTTGTCTCTGAGTTGTGATTCATTGCCACCTGCCCCGACTTCTAGCCTGTTTACTGACAACGATTGTGTTTACCCCCCGTCACTGTGTTTGCTGGTATTTGACCATTGCCTGTTTGACCACGATTGTAAGAAAGCCTGCTTATGGATCCCACTTCGAGTGACGCTTCGTTACAATAGTCTATATAGTTTTTATTAAGTTTACTGTTTTTAGTTTTGATAAGTTACTGTATTTACTTTTAGTTAACACTTTAACAAACCAATATATATATATATATACACACACACACGAAAAAGAGAAATGTTGCCTTATAACTAGCTTAAATAAAATACATATTTTCTTTTAGCTAGTTAGTAAGGCAGCATTTCTCTTGTCATTTATA